CACTGTCACCCACTGTCACTGTCACCCACTGTCACTGTCACCCACTGTCACTATCTCCCACTGTCACTATCTCCCACTGTCACTGTCACCCACTGTCACTGTCACTGTCACCCACTGTCACTGTCACCCACCGTCACTGTCACCCACTGTCACTGTCACCCACTGTCACTGTCATCCACTGTCACTGTCACCCACTGTCACTGTCACCCACTGTCACTGTCACCCACTGTCACTGTCACCCACTGTCACTGTCACTGTCATCCACTGTCACTGTCACCCACTAAGCGCTGGACGGAAAACAACTCAGTGTTGCGGCACATGCAGTCAGTTTTAAAAAAAGAAACTAGATTAAATGAAATTCAACAAACAAAAAACCTAACAGTCAACTTCCGTTCTTGTTCTGATTGTAAAAATCCCTGTAAGATAATACTAATGATCATAGAAAAAAACCTCTTTATATTTGTCGCATATGCACAAAAGTCGAGGGTTTTTAAAGTTGTTTTTTTTTTAAATTCAGAGGCACGTGCAAAAGATGAGGGATATTTGGCTCTTAGATTCGGTGAAATGAGGTGGACCAGTTGTCCCTTTGGTGTTGTCCGGACTGAAGTATTTGTCCTACAATTGTTTACTCTATTGTTTCTTTTTTCTTTTTCAAACCGTCTCCACTAACTATCATTAACTTTGTTCCCAACTGTCTCCACTGTCATTAACTGTGTTCCCAACTGTCTCCACTAACTGTCATTAACTTTGTTCCCAACTGTCTCCACTAACTGTCATTAACTGTGTTCCCAACTGTCTCCACTGTCATTAACTGTGTTCCCAACTGTCTCCACTGTCATTAACTGTGTTCCCAACAATACAGTATAGACAGTCAAAAACAATACAGTATAGACAGTCAGTCAAAAACAATACAGTATAGACAGTCAAAAACAATACAGTATAGACAGTCAGTCAAAAACAATACAGTATAGACAGTCAAAAACAATACAGTATAGACAGTCAAAAACAATACAGTATAG